TGCTTTTGAAGCCAATCTGTTAAATTTTTCTTAACAAAAGTTTATGTGAAAGTTGACATTTTTATAACTTTTTTCCTATAAAAGTTACAACAATGCTGTTTGCTACAATAATTTATCATATTATGAAATGTGTATATTTCAAATTTCATAAATTTCTCTTGGCGCACTTTAAAGATATTTGATATTAAAATTAACAAACTTTAAAGATATTTTATATTAAAATTAACAAAGACGAAGGGTAAAATTTTATTTTTTAAATAAAATAAAAGTGTTTATAGTTACAACAATCTCACTAATTCTATTGAATTTAGCATGTTAATATATATCTGTGTGCTAAGTTTGAACTTTGTAGCTTGGCGCACTCTTTAGATATTAATTTTCAAAGTTGCTGGTTAAAATCTATTTTTAGTAACAACCAACACTGTGATTTACTGGAAATGGTCAATTTCTATCTATCACGTCCTATTTTTAGAAGCACACATAGGAATTTTTCATTTAGATTAACTTCTATAATGTTTAAATGCTAGATTATGGAGAGGGAATGTGTCTTTATTATAATTACTTTGTAATGTGCACATTTTAAAGTAAAAATAAATATTTTAAAATAATAATATTAAATATTAAATTTTTTGTCTTCATATTTTTAGCTCTGCGAACTATTAGTTAATTTTTTATTTTTTTTCCGTGTGTTGTTTTTTTCTATTAGTATGTAATACATGTAAATTAATAGTTAATAAATGAGTACATTATATTTTTAAAATGATGAGCTATTACTGCACAAAAATTTAAGTAAAAAATCTTTTAATAACTTCTAAATAAATCGCAAGGTTTCTTTTTTTATTTTATTGTCCGATGCAAGAAATTTTTCATTTACAATTTATTTTTTAAAGCATTTAAATTCAGGCATTTTAAAATCATTAATTGCCAGTGCTCTACAAAAAGGTTTAAACTGAAGTTTATTAAACTTGTCATTAAATTTTAGCAAATATTTTTCTGCGCAGTGCTATTTTCATTTATAATTATAAAAATTATCTATCTGATGCATATAAATAGCTATTTAAATACAGTAGTATTACAATTAAACAAAATAAAACACACTACAGATCTCTGATTTGTTTTATTTGTGATTTTTGGGCTCATATGATGACAAAATCACATATATTTTTATTTTTTGTCGAAGGCTTTTTTTTTATATATTAATTCACTTTTTTTCAAAGATTTTATTGCTTGGTCTTATTTTTTAAATTTGCTAATGAAAAAAAAAGAGTGTGAAGTTTCAACCCCATATCTTTAAGACTTTTTATACTACAGTTAATCATGTCTCCCGGAGCAGTCTCACTCCTTGCTGGGCAGTGTGGGCACAATTTCGCCGCTTCTCTGCATATCTCCCGGGCACCCGATCAATCCATGCTGCCCTGAAATGTCCGCATGTCTGCCTCCTGGTTCCGCCTCCTCCAGCCAATGCTTACTGATGTCCGTACTCTGCCCCGCCCCGCTGATTGGATGCCCGTGATTGATGGGCAGAAGGATTGCTCCGCCCCCGAATCCCGGGGAGAAGATACCGCCCTCCCTACCTCATACAGTTGATATAAAATATTTTAGTACAGTATTTGGTTCAGAATCTTTTTTTTCTAGATTTTCCTCCTTAAAATTGGGTGCGTCTTATATGCTGGAGCGTCTTATACGGCGAAAAATACGGTATCATTTTAAAGTGTTTGACAGCTAGATTTAGATAAGTATATCATCTGAATCGCTATCAATAACGTATCCAGCCATGTCTATTTTTATTTACATTTTCTCAGTCCATTACAAGACGTCACTTCCGCTTTCGGCCATTGAAGCTGATTTTCAAATCTCGTTATTTTTTTACACTTTCAAATTACTTTTTCTAATATAAATACGTTTTTCTAAAATCTCAAAATTTTAGGAACTAACTTTGATGCTATCTACTATCTAAATCAATCGCTATCTCAATTTAGAAAAAAACCTCTTCTGTTGGTCTTTAATACCTAGCTAAGATTAGCAATAATTGTACTGGCTACACAAAACCAAGTGCACCACTTAATTCCTGATTTAAATCAGTTTAAGGACTAATGAACATAAATTAAGTTTTATATGATTAGATGTTTAAACTGTACTCTTTAGATTTCAAAGGATGTTTTTATTACTTTCTTTTGAGATTCAGTTTAATGGAAATATCCCCTAGTCCTAGTTCATCCTTTGCATAGAAGCTAAGACACACAACATATTGTGGATACTTCCTCAAAATTAACCCTTTAGCTCCTTCTGCAGTTGGAAACATTTTCCCGTTTTTGTCCTAAACCTTTGTAGAAATCCCCTATTCAATAGACTTGATTTAAACTTTTTTAAAAGATTTCTTCTAGTCTCATTGCAAGCGTGATTACAAATCATTTTGGAGATAACCGATTCTATTTTTATTACAATCAGGAAGATTTGTATTGTTAAAATAATTGTTCAAATGAACAGGCCCCTAGCCCCACGTGGGGAAATGGGTAATTTTGAAGCTTTTTTTATATTGTAATGGTATTTAAAGTATATATTTTTTAAAACTAGATATATCATTTTATTTTTTAAAGTTGTTTTTTTGTTTATAAATATATTAGATCTTAAATTTGATTATTTTTTCAAAATAAATATTTTTTTTAGGATTTTTTAAATACGAAGTTATCCCTCTTTTCTTAGTACCTGGGAAGGGTTTTACTTAACCCGAAATAGGAGCTATAGGGTTAACAAAGCATATTAATCACCGGCCTATTTACATTAGTTATAAAAAAAAATTTATTTTATTGTTCCCTTAAGTCCAGTTGAGCTTCATTATGTATATGTGTGTTTCAGACTGATGGCAGCCTGAGTGTAGAAGGCAAGAGTTCCGACCAGTCATTCCTGTCTAATATCTTAGACGATTTGAAAGCTTTGTTGAGCCAATCCTCCTAACATCAGCCCACCCAGCTGCTCATCTGTGATACTAGATAGAGGAGTGCACACAAAGCAATTATTGCTAACAGTTAATGTACACTTGTCTTGTTTGTGTAGTTCTAAAAAGTGAAGTGCAGCCAGAAAGGAGGGGGGGGGGGCACCAAGAACAACTTTTTTTCTGTTTTGGCTTTGTCTTAATAACTTAAGCATTCCTGTTTGAGTATATAAATACTCTGTAGTGTTGTCTGGTCTGTATCCTGTACTGTTGTCAGACTGTGCAGTCTTGTGGAGCTGTGGTTACATTTTAAAGTCTCATTCTGATAACATTTCTTTGTCAAACTGTGCACAAGTTTCTATGCAACATTAGAACACTGTCATGTTGGCCAAAGAAAGGTTCCTATTGACTAGCTTATAAATGATCCCTCACCAAAACAAAACATGTATATTTAAGTCTGAGTTAGTATGTGATAAAATTACATTCTTAAATAGTGTCTGGTATTATTAGTGACTTCATAACTCTTCATGTTTCAGTGGTAGTCCTTTTGTTCAGATATATTGAGACTTAACTCACGTCAACCATATTTAACTTGCTACATTCAATTCATAGATGATCCTATGTATTGCTCTCAGAGACCAGCCTATTCATTATTGGTATATTTAATAGTTTTTGGCTAAAATGTGTGTGTTATGTCTTGTTAGTGAATACTCTCTTTTTTAGCATATAGATTTATCCACATATTAGTTTCAAAAAAAGGAAATTTATTTCTTTTATTTTATAAAAAATTGAGTTGATTTTTAAATAGGTTAGTTGTTGTTTGTTTGTTCTAAGATGAAAAGATTTGAGTGTAATTGAAATGAGCTGTAGTTCAACTTCATCATCATTCACTGGAGGAGTGGGTTCAGGTTGAAACAAACAAAAAAAAGAATATATATGTATATATTTACAGCATGAGAGTCTGAACACAGCTTTTTCTTCAGGCTGTCAGTTTTGTTTTATTTCCTTATTTGCTTCTATCAGAATTGTAGTAGTTGACATAGCTTAAACTGTATACATATAGTGAGAAACTTGTCTCCCTTTAGAGTTGGGCTATTGTAATGCTTTCTTTTTTCCCGCACTCCTAATCTTGCCACAGTGTTAAGTTAGTTGACAGTGTAGTGTAGGTCTTGATTTACACAATCAACTATCAGTAGTGTTTAGCCAGCTATTTTGAAGTAGCTCCACTTTTTTGTAATAAGGCTATGAAGTTATTACCAGATTTGAATATATTGGATGGCTTCTCAATTTGACTTACACGTAATGCATCGATCACACTTTCACATTTTTTTTTTTGTTCTCTTAGAGAAATGTTTTGTGTTTAGTTTAAGTAAATCTCTCTGTTTAACTTCCTATGTTCACTTTCTATTCAACCATGTTGGGTCTTCCTGAGTTCGTGTGGTCTAATTTTTTTTCTTCATCATTCAGGCCAATCAGATTTTTTTTAATGCTTGTAACTTGTACACAATAGAGATTTTTTAAAATTTTTTGTTTGCTGTATCGTTGGTGAATTCTTGTTCGTTATTTGTGTGACTGCATTATCTAGTTAGATTTGACATTATTCCTCATGGTTGTGAATAAGGATTCAAAAGAGAACCTGTATTGGAAAAGAAAATATTATATGTAGGTCTGTTTGTGGGGAAGATTCACATTTCTGATGGTGTTGCTACTAGAACCTTTTGATGGAAGATATGTCATATAAAACCTCAGGTCTTTGCCATATAACTATCTGTCTGTTAGACAAAACAGACTTTAAAGATGTGAATATTTGCTTCTGTGTTTCTTTATTTTAACATTTTTAAATGCTAATGGTTACAATGTATAGGTCAAGTTTTTTTTATTATTACAATATTAATTCAACTAAAATAATTGTTTTCACGGAAAAGCACAGTTCTTAGCTGTTGTTGCATTTGTTACTCTAGCGTTTGTTTGTTGCTTTTTTTCTCTGTGTGTGTGTTTGAAAGCAACAAATCATAATGATTACTTCTTGATAATGAATGATCAGTCTCTCCCTCTGTGCACTAGGTCCTTACTTCTTGATAATGAATGATCAGTCTCTCTCTCAGTGCAATAGGTTCTTTGCACTAGGTCCCAACCTACAATGGCTAGTGCTTATGAAACCAGAAATGTCTGAGCATTATTTTACACTTGCATTGACTTTGTACTTTTGCCTGTCAGAATTTATTTTTTATGTGTGCTGTTTCAAGTTCATTGTAATGTGTTTGAAACAAAAAGTTGTATTGTTAATTCATTGGAAAATAGACTGAGCTGTGTCTATATATATTATATATATATATAAATAAGAATCCTATTGTTTACATATATTTATCACTATCAATGTTGTATTGAATCTGTCCAGTTGAAATAATCAGCTATGCTTGAAATTAAACATTTGAGTACATATGTACATTGGAATCATTCAGACAAAAAAAATAAAAATGTACAAACTTAATTCTTTGACTATGTGTTCAATATGTCTATATCTGCTCAACAAATAAGCCTCCTTCATTATTATCTTTAAATCATGCCAAGATCCATTAGACTAATTAGAACTGATCACTTGGACTCATGTTGTGATTTAGCACAACTTAAAATCTTAAATAATTAATAGGTCAATAAGTTTTTAAACCAATGTGTACCCAATGGTTATGTTGTACCTAAACCAACCAACCGGTCCCATGAAATGTTTCAAAGCATTAATGAAGAAACATGCATTCAATCATTAGATAAAGAGGAGTTATATTTATATAGGTTATTTTGGTCACTAGATAAAGAGGAGTTATATTTATGTAGGTTATTTTGGTCACTGCTTTGATAGAAGTCACTAGAAGTTCTTTCAATATCTCCCCAAGTAGAAACTGAATCCAACTTTTGTTGAAAGCTGCTTTGTAATTGTTGACTATTTGTGCGCTTGTAGTTTCAAAATGAGTAATAGTTTGCCATATATTACTGTTAGGATAAATTTTATTATTTGTAGTTTATTAGTTGACTGGAATAAATAAGTTTTTAAAAACTCAAGTGCCTCCTACAATTATGCTCTCTTTTCTTTAAAAACAAAGTTACAAAGACAGTTTGTGTGGAAACACAAACTCAAAATCGACCCCCGAAGTGGTCCACATAGGCAGGTAAAAAGGCAGGTTTCAATATTTTCAAAAAGGATATCAGAATGAAATTCTATCAAAAGCAAATGACAGAGAAGAATGGAGAAAGAAGGCTGGTGAAGTTAGATGTGAACCTGGCCTAACTGATGTCCTATAATGATCTGTTTTGTAAAGGGTCAATCGTTTATTCAAAGCCTCAAGAAAAAAAAAACATTACTGTAAAAAAAAATAATTTAATCTGAAACCGTTAAAAATATGGTAAACTATTCGACCGGCGGCGTAGAATAAGCCGCTATTTTACATGGCCAGTCTTATGCCACTGCAGCCTATGCGACCGCAGTGGCCCCCCCCCCCCCCCTTTCAAAGGACCCGCGCTAATTCAAGGTGTATAAATTATTACATTAAACCATTTTATAACTTAAAACAGATTTTCCGCGCCCTCCTTTCGATTTACTAGGAGCTCCTGGAAATCTCCCGAAATCGCAAAATATACGAAAAAGTCCTTAAAATATACGGAAATATATAGAAAAAATTGTCATTTTGGGATGTCATTCAATATGGAAAACGCCAACCCTACGCGCGATAAATAAAAACGGCATTATTCATTAGCCGTAATTGTGTAATCAGGTTAAAGAAGCTTCTCGCGCCTCAAACTAATGAAGAAATACTTGAGGTCAACAATTCTTAAAGATAGATTGAAACATTTGGTAATTCTTGCTATTGAGCGTGATCTATTTAGGAAACAGAATTAATGATATACTGTATGACTCTGCTAAACGCAAGGCTCGTAAAGTAATTCTGTACGTAGTAAAGAATGAATAAAATGCATAGACGAATTTATTTCAGAGTTACTTCAGAGTAGAAGATAGTTTTCTTTTTAGTCCAAACCTCCCGCAAGACGAAGGGGGTTGGGAGAGGGCAGGGTTTGACAGTCCAGCACGCAGCCATCCGTAGCGACGTGTGACTACCCACGTGTTCTCTTCCGCCCCCTCTTGTTTTCTCGTGAACTATCCGCAGAAATAAGAGAGTGATCTTTTCTTTACTTCTCGTTTAAACTGTTGAGGGAAGAAGAGAACTATACATTATATATAGATAGATAGATGTTCATTTCCCTTATTAAATAAATAAATAAATAGCATCCTGTGTTTGTAACTATTAATAGTGAATAGTTGAAAAAAATGGTGTATTTTTATGAAAAAACTGCTTGCATAGTTGATTTTTTAAATTATTTTTTTTCACTTTCAGAAAAGAAAAAGTAGCCGTTGCATCAGAACTTTGAAGGTCTAAAATATCATGTTGTCGGATTTTCACAATTTTTTCTAGTTTACGAGATCTAAACGGGACGGACAAAGAGACCACACAAAACTTATAGCGTCAATTCCTTTCCGGGGCCGCTAAAAGTCAGCTATTCCTATACTGTACAAGGGCGTTTAGGTCAATAAGGTTGTGATAGATGAAAGCCAGGAACAACTGACTATGACATTTAACCTATTGGCCCTGTTCTGAATCATTGTAGTACGTAGTTTCAATGCATTCACCTTGTGACTACTTTTATTTTCTTGTTTTAAAGGGGTGGGGGGCGAGCCACATCAGACTGGAATAGCAGCCCAATAAAGTTTCTCTCCCCTTACTACGGACAGTGTTAGGGAGTAAAAGGCAATTTGTTGCTTTTAAGTCGCATTTAACTTTGTAAGCCCAAATCAGTCGAGATATTTTTGTTGGCTAATTTTTATTTTACAGCTTGGACGACTCATTGCAAGCCCTGGGAACTAAATATCGAATCGATGAGAAACAAACACAAAAAAAAACCCACCTAGCATTAGGGCACTCAGTGGATTTAAATAAAAAGAAAGTCACAGGTACCCGCGAGTTTCTTTGGCGACTAGCATGGAATCGATGGTAATCTTTAATAAGGGAACATGTGACAGGAGCTTTCAATTGTTCAGTCTTGAACACTCCGCCGAGGACGGTCCCAAACCCTGCTGAAAAAGGAGGAGGGTTGAGAGTAGGGTTAGCAGAGCAGGACGAAAAGGAGGACAAAGCTTACAAAGAACCAAAAACAAACAAAAAAAACGATACTTAGCAGGTCATCGTAGGGTCCAGTCGAAGTAGTAACACTGTCTCTAATCTCTTGGTTTATGATGCGGTCTTTAATGTGATACATAGGACCCTTCTGTAGCAACTCAATTCCATTGCTAGGATCCTCCTCTCTAGCTCTGCAGTCAGCGTCCAAGACTCACAAGCATACAAGAATGTGCCCATGACCAGGGAGTATCTTAGCAAAAGAAACTGTTCACGTGCATTTATCATGCAACTCATGCTGTGTAGCTTTACACCTTTCTATGTTAAACTGATTAATAAATTACATGCCATTGCAGTAAACAACAGCCGGACATTTTAGGTTAATGCCGGCAGGAAGGAGGACATGACCTCCTTTTGTCGGACGTCTGGTAGCTGCACCTTCATTATACCAAACTTATTGAGTTTTCTTCCTCGGATGCTGTATCTCTAGATGTTATAAGTCCGTGTGTTGTTGCTACTAGAATATAAATCCTCATAAATTTTAATTGCCCTATTGTCAGACGTCTTCCCCCACCCATCCCTTTTTTTTTTATCTTTCTTGTAGCAAATAAGCTTCAAAAATGTTTCCCTCACATACCGGAACGAAGACAATAGTAATTATTAACAACGGTACTTTTTCTGTTTTCAATCTCTCACACCTTGTCTGTCAACTGATTACGGAAAGAATGTCAGAGAACAGAAGAGCAAAGATTGATCACGAGGACGGTGGCTTCATGACGTAGAGGCAGATCTACAACAGTCAAGGCTGTAGTTATTTTTGAATAAAAAAAAAAATTAAGCAGTTTGGGCATTACATGAAAGATAATTTATCCCGAGACCTAGGCCTACTCCTTTATGGTTACTTTTTGTAAAGTCATAAATTGTTTGTTGACTGTACGCACCGGTACCTTTTTGGATGTGGTTTTTCTTGTATTTTAACGTTTATTATTAACTTATTAGTAGTTAAATGTTAGGCAATCAATCATTGTATACCGGCACCTATATTTTTACACACAAAAAAAAGCACTGGTTATTTACATATTAAAACCAGTAAATTCATCACTTATTTGGTAAGGTAATTTAAAAAAATAAGCACAATTATTATCTACATATCACTCTTTTGTTCCGTTAACTAAATCTTTAAAATAAGCGAGAAAGCTTTTGTGTTTTCTGTTAGGTACCGGTACCGTAAACTATACAACACAACTTGTAGTAGAAGCGATTTGTTTTGGCTGCATAGCATTTATCATCATACAATTTGAAACATACCCGTACACAAAAACAAACAAAATGTGATCAATAAATTTATTGTTAGGTCATAAATATTTATATTCCAATCAGTTTATAACAATAATCATTTTAAATGTACTGTACATGTTTGGCTTCGGAAACAAAAACTCAAAAACAAGTTTTATCATAAGCCTGGGTTTTTGTCAAGCAATAAAGTATTTACAGAAAGAACCATGCAAACCTCCTAAATTAGTACCCTACTCAAACACAAATGTACAAGTATGGGAGGCATGTAGGTCATCCAGTCCAAATAAGTGGATTCACTTTTTTGTTGTCCACTTTAAAGTTATAGAATTGTTGATGAAGTTACACCACTAAGCAAATAACTAAAACAATGAAAGACTGCAACCCATTAGAAAGCCATATCAGATAAATTGCTCAAGTGTCTCCTTGTGCCTCAGACTAATTGTCCTAGTCCAAAGGGGGAAAAAAAGTACTAGTCAACTTCTAGTATTGTAAGCTAGAAAAAAAAATTTGATTTCAACAGATAACTAACTTCTATGCTATTTAAACACATAAAAATTACAACAAAATAGTTATTAATAAAATGGTTCAGTTCTCACAAAACTAGACAGCAGAGATCATCAGATATATCTGCCTAATGAATCTTTGCTGTGTCAAAAATATGCTTTCAAAATCATGACAATCTTTCATACATTTGGATTCATAAACAATTGGGGGGGGGGGGGGGGGGCGTTTATTTGAATGCAAGAACCAATGGAACCAACACTAAAGATTGGTTTACACATTTAGGATAAAGAAAGCTGTAATTAAGCCTAGAAGACTATTCAGTGCAGTTTTTTTATTTTAGAGACAGCAAAAAGGAATGAAAAGAAATCAGCAACTCATGTTAAACAACAAATTATGCCAAGACGTATTGTAGTTTATAAATAAATACATCTTAATCACAATGTAGAGCAAGATGATAAGATGAAGAATATAAAATAAAAAGCCTCAATCTTGATAAATGCAACACTTTCAGACTCTTTTACACAATTTGAACTTCAGGCAATTTAAAAAATGTATTGAATAAATATATTGATGCAGTGCTTCCTATTATTTATAAAATTACAAAGACTAAAGCCTACCATTATCTCAAAACAAGACATTGCCCAGCATAAAATGCAACCTAACCACCAGCTTAGACAATACTTGTCTGATTTAATAACAATAATAAAAAGATCACTAAAATTAAGTAAGCAGAACAAGGAAGTCAGATTGAATCAGTTTTATAGTTTAATAAGTTGAAACTATTTGACATCACAGTCAGTATAAAGAGTACACAGTCTTGTTGACAATAGGTAGCCTAGTGATATTCTTTAGCTAGAGGATTAGTATCTCAGTATGTGTACTGCTGTTGTTTTTTAACTATTCCACTAAAGAGAGGTTGATCAATGTACTTACAAAATATTTAACTTTTTAACGTCTTGGATAAAAAACAACTCCCTATCATGAAATCAAGAGGTCTTGAAAGGAGAGTTAGGATTCTCTACTATTTAACATGTAAAATGTTAATACATAAAATACTGGTTTATTGATGATCTCTAGTTAAAATGTGTGATATGTTTACTCCCTACTTCACATGGTAAACCTAACAATTGATTTTTAACACTGACAGCTAAAGAAGCTAGATATAAGAAACAATACACAAAATAATTCTAGTTATGGTGAACAAACAATTGATACATCTTTTATTGCTTAATATTTTTTTTAAACTAAAAAACTTAAGTACCATATAACCTACAATTTATTTAAAAAATAATATCTGGAGATGTATAATTTTAGTCACCATTACTTAGCTACAAATACACTAGTCCAATGATTTTGACAGAAAACAAAATTACATTTATGACAAAATAATTCTAAAAAAAAAATAAAAAATAGGATGCATTTATTTTAATTTTTCAAAAAGGTATTAAAAAGCATTTCTTGGCATAAATTGATCATCTGTATTGACTCACTTAACTAGTGGTCTACTGTTGTCATCATCCATACAGTTGGCAGATTTATATTTCTGTACTTCTTGCAAGTATCTGGCCCAGGCATCCAATTTTTCTTGACTAGCTTCGTCCTGTACAGAAAAATCTTCATGTATAAATAAATGTGTTTCACCCACTAGCAAACAAAAAGCACTTGGTTTTTCTTTTAAGGGTGTTCAATTTACAGCACACAATATAAATGGCACTCTTAAGACTTTATAACCACAATTTGTAACAAAATCAGAATGGTGCCTTTTCTTTTTTGACTTACCTGGGTATTGATAAGGTTGTTCCCATGCAACTATAACTGAACGCTTTATTTCATTGTCAAATATATACCATAAATGCAGAAAAAAAAAAAAAGTAATTTAAATTTTCCATTTTTCCCCATGTGGTTAAAAAATATGAATATGTAACCATTACCTCTGCAGGTTCTTGTGGCTTCTTGAGAACAATGCCAGTCTTAAGGGGCTTAGCAAGTCTGCGTTTACCCACCTGTAGAAACAAACTTGACAGCGTCAAACTCAAATTGAGTTTGCGTCACAAATTTTTTAAAGTTATGTATTTATATGAGTTGGGTTTATTTAGAATTTTATTCTAAATATAGCAGGCAGAGATTTAAAAAAATTTCAACTTTTATTTCAAACTGCATAATTCAATTAGGAAAATAAATAGATAATTGGCTAATACTTTCCTCTCATTCTTATTGTTTAAATTAGTATCTAAAGCACAACTTATTTAAATAATCACTTATCCATCTAAATAGTGCAACTATATTATAGACCAGGGGTGTGCAAAGTGCATCTGCGAAGGAATTTTATGTTGCCAGTTAAGACATTTCAAAATTTTTTTTTTGGGGTGGGGGTTAGCTTTTTCTAATACATTGATATAAGTATTACAATAAATGGTAGTGGAGTATGTTGAGGTTTCATAACACAATTATAAACTATGATAAAGAAAAATGATATTTAAACTGTAGACATTTCATTATAAATTTGATGAACATGGAAAATGACATTTTGGCTTGCGCAAGGAAAGTTTATCAAAGTGAAAAAGATTTTGTGCTGTGTCAGTAAAATGACATGTCTACTGTGGCTTCTATGCACCATTCCTCTTTCATTAGCACATCTGCCTCAATTATGTCCAACCCTAAAATATATAAGACTTTTTTCTACTTAGACCTAACTAAAAAAAAAGATAAAACACACCAAATAAACAAATATTATATATATATGTAATATATATATAAAATATATTACCGGGGATATGTATATATATATATATATATATCCCCCGTAATATATATATAATATTTAATAAAATTTGTAAATTATACTGGCTAGAGTCAACTCTAAGTGAACAACCTAGATTATCAATCTGTGCTATAAGAAATTAACACGGCTCTAAAGCTGATCATAACACTTTTCCAGCTACCACAATGACACAAAACATTATAATGGCTGCATCCCAGATCCAAACACTGGCATCATTTGGACTCCATCAGTGTCAATCAATTTAACAAACAAATTGTTTAAGTCTAAGTGCAGAGCTGACTCCTGGACCAATCATCCATTCAATTAGTTTAGAAACTGAAAATAAGCTCAAAGCTCCTAAAAGCCCTGAGAAATCAAGAATACAGTAAAGTTCCTAAACATCTAAGAACATTTTTTTTTAATTCCACACATCAAGAAAGATCTTTTCAACGAACTGAACACCATAATAAAATATTTACACTTCAAGTTGGGTGAGGAGAATGGATGAAAAGAAAAAAAATCTATTGCTAGTAGTAGTGTTCTAGACAAGCCAAAATACTGTCATAACTGGTTTAATGAGCAAATCAAAGAATCATGAAATGCAAAACTTGTTCTCAAAATATGCGCAGCCTTCAAAACAGAGAACTTATTAATAATATCCTTACCAATAAAAAACAAAAATAGGTGCTGAAAAATCACATTAATCCATCTATGGAAATTTTTTAAAAGAAGCAAAATAAATCTTAATGTTAAGAAAAAAAAAGCCTGTGCATCTCTATTTCCTGCCTGAGGATCTAAACCTTTGCTCACCCCTATGATAGAACTTTATGTTAGAATGAAATCTGATTACGAGTCAAATTAAACACAAAACAAAACTTTGTTATAAAAATATGTAATATATATATATATATTTATTTATGTCCCATAATATCACATAGAGACCTTTAACTTTAAGTTTACAATTAATAAAATACTAGATCTATATTTTTACATTTATTTTTAAATTATAAGATGTTAAACTATTATAAATCTTACAGACACCGGAACTGGTATAGACTTATGTGCAGGCATTGGTACACCATCAAGATCTTGTTCGGCATGTGAAGAGTGAGCTAACACTGTTTCTTCAAGAGGTGTTGTGGTAAGAGGTGGTAATGAAAGATCTGGACTGAACTGGATAGATGATGACGCTAAAACCAAAGAATTAGGGGTCACTGATGTGGCTTGCTCTGCCATTTTCTTTTTAAACATTTCCATGAAGCTGCCATCATTCTTAAACTGATTTTGTGCCATTACAGGTGGTTGTTTGCTTCTGTTAAAATGAGCATCTCTTATAGATGTCAGTTTTGATCTCCAATCGTGACCAGTAATTCTTTCATTACCAGTGCGATGAAAATCATCATCTCTTGCGTCGTCCCTCCTGTAGCCCCTGGATTCATATTTCCGCAGTCTTGATCTACTACTGCTCTCATGTGCAGAGGAAGAATCATCGCTGTCTTCACTGCTGTCTCTCCTAGACCTAGATCTACTTCTCGACCTAGAGTTTGTTCTAGATCTAGATCTCGATCTTGATCTAGACCTAGATCTATCTCTGTTCCGTCTTCTCTCTGACGGTGACCTCGATCGAGACCTCGTTCTTCTTCGACTGCGGCTATCTTCACTAGATCTATAAGATCTATCACTATCTCGACTTCTTCGGCGTCTGTCTTCTATAGATCTTCTCCTACTATGGTAATCATCGCGACGTCTTGGTCTGTCAACGTCTTTTAGTTTCATATCATTATTGTCATCATTCTGCCAGTTGCAATCGTCAGCCATTTTTGTTTGCACAATTTTACATTAAATAGAGATGGCGACAGAGTTGCCAACTAGAAAGCTAAGACAATTTCATAACATGCTAGAACATCAATTAGCGTATTTGTGGGCAAATAAACGACCCGCGGATTAGATTTTTAGAACTGACGTCTGTGATGCATTCGGCAATGGCTGGAATGGATAGGATTAAAATTAGTTTATTACAAGTAGGCCTCTTTTAAGCTGAAACCATTGTTGCTAACATATCTTTGATACACAACTTTTGTATTTTGCTATCATTTTATAGCGGCACCCGAAAGGTGAAAAGACGCTATTAGTTTTGTGTGGCCCGTCTGTCCGTCTCGTTTAGATCTCGTAAATTAGAAAAGATAGTGAAAATCCGACATTCAAAGTTCTGATGCAACTGCTACTTTTTTCTTTTCTGAAAGCGAAAAATCTAATTTTTTAAAATCACTCATGCAAGCAGTTATTTCATAAAAATACACCACTTTTACAACTATTATATTCACTATTAATAGTAACAAACACTTGAGGCTCCTTACTGGATGTAGCAACTATTTACCATATTTTAAACACATTTATGCAAACGGTTGTAGATTTTTTGTCAAAAAATATTTTAAAAATATTTTTATTGTTTAGTTAATAACC